TTAAACTCACCCTTACCTCCAATTCTTTCTGTTCCAGAATGGCTGGAATCCCGTGCGTGATCCTGAGCGGCATGAACAAAAGCGCCGCCTATGAGATCGGCAAGAAGGCAGACAGACAGGCCATGGGGGCACAGTGGAATGCTGTATACGTACAGGACAACTGGAGGTTTATCGATGCTTTCTGGGCCTGTGCCTGCGTCGTGGGGAAAAAGAGCGGTGAGTTTGTGTAATAAAGAAAGATGAGAGGATACGAGATAGGTTGAGGTGATGCAGAGACATAAGAGGATATGAAATAGGATGAGGCGAGTCTTAGTGATGTAGAGACTTGAAACTGAGAGGATGTGAGATAGGATGAGGTGATGCAGAGATATAAGAGGATATGAAATAGGATGAGGTGAGTCTTAGTGATGTAGAGACTTGAAACTGAGAGGATGTGAGATAGGATGAGGTGAATTAATGATACACTACACAAGTATGAAAGATTATAAAAAGGTTGTTGTGATGCGAAGAGAAAGGAGGATATGAGATAGGATGAGGTGACTTAATGATATACAGGCATGAGAGGGTATGAGATACGGTGAAATGATGCTGAAACATGAGAGGATATGAGATAGGGTGAGATGAGTGTGGGTGATGCAGAGACATGAGAGGGCATGAGATAGGATGTGGTGAGTTTGTTATAGGATTTAGTGAGTTTGAGATCTAGTGACATGATAGGATATGAGATAGGAAGAGGTGAGTTTATGATACATAGACATGATAGGATATTAGCTTGGAAGAGGTGAATTCATGATAAACAAATATGAGAGGATAATGAGATAGGAAGAGGTGAGTTTTATGATACAAAGACATGAGGTGATAGTATGACATTGGATTGGGTGAGTTTTTGATACTGCCAAGCGATGGGATATGAGCTAGGATGATGTTAGTTTGTGAAACGAAGAGGTGAGTTTGTGGAATGATTTTGTTAGTTTGTGACAGTGACAAGAGAGGATAAGAGATAGGATGAGGTAAGAACGGAGACATGGCCCGATATGAGATAGGATGAGGTGAGTTTGTATTATACAGAGACATAATAATATAGGATGTTATAGAATGATGTGTGTTCACGATAGGATTTGGTGAAAATGTGTGTGATACAGTGGCGCGATAGGATATGAGATAGGATGATATGAGTTTTTACAAAAAAATAAGATCATGTGAATGTGTACACCTCGCGGAGATGAAAGGTAATGAAGTAGGGTGAGGTGGGTTGTGATAGGATGGTGTGAATTTGAGAAAATATTATCCGTGTTTGTGATAGAATGAGGTGGGTTTACACTGAACATTGATTGCTACCTTCGTTAGATTAAAATTTGAAGGCTGGAGAACATGTGGGTTTTTAAAAAAAATTAAAATTGACTGAAGGCATCGATGTATGTACATATTATTGATCTGTCTTTTTTATTCTCTCTCTCTCTCTCTCTCTCTCTCTCTCTCT